GTATACGTGTGTTTCCTGGTCAGTGAAAGCATGTGCAGTGCAGTGTGTGACTGTGTACGTGTGTGACACTGTGTACGTGCCTGTCTGTATGTCAGAGGAGGAGCCTGGCTCTGTACGTTTTATCACACTTCCAGTCACAAGCTCTTTGGTGATTAAAGCAGGCAGGAAGCTGTCCTTATCAGAGGTCACCATGTCCCCTTATAGAATGTACACATTTTACATTCATTGTTCTCGTATTCAATCTACTGCTGCTGGCAGAGCATATGTCAAATGATGTGTGTCAGCGAGGATTAGCCTCCTACACACCATGAGAATATCACACGAATCATTGTCCTTTAAAAAAAAAAAAAAAAAAAAATAATGAATAGGTTCTGAAAGTTAGGGAAATTCTCGTACGACAGAATACAATTTCGGAAGTGATATAATGTATTGTATTGTAATTTATTTATTACAGGTACTTATATAGCGCCGTCCATTTACGCAGCGCTTTACATATATGTAGATTGGTCAAACGTCAGAAGCATTCCTACAAGGTGAACAATGACTCCCAAAGGAGTGTTCACCGACAATGACTCCTTTTGGCCCTTCTCATTGTATTCTGCTTTAAAAAAAATTGAGGCAGATCTAAAGTAAAAAATAAAAAAAGACGTAGAGGAGATAATATATTGCTTACTTACTGCCTGTCAAACGTATCTAAAAAGCTATGTGAATATGGATCGCTTTTCAGAGGTGTGATAATCTTGCCATGTCTCTGAAGAAGACTTTCCATATGGGAAGTTAAATCTCTTCCTTCAGACAAAAAAAAAATATGAGCAGGCAGGGTCTTTATTGCAGAAGGGTCATGTCAGTTCTGCAATAAAACAAGCTCACCTTGATTTTTGCAGTTTTTAGATTGTACATTGAGCTACACATTCCGCTGCTCAATAGAACATCTTGGTATGTATGTTATGTACTTTAAAGATTGCAGTTTTATCACACCTTTTTTTTTTTTCCCCCATATTTCCAGAAGTAAATCCATGATTCTAGAGCTTGCGCGGCAAAATACTGTGTAATAATAATAATAATATGATTTAATGTTAGGACAGTATATTACAATTAGATTAAATTTTTGCTTTTAGCTTCTGTTTTTAAATATTGTACTTCAGCTATAAAAGGTTTTACCACCTTCATGACCTGGCCTTTTTTTTTTTTTTTTTTTTTTTGCTATTCTGCACTGTACTACTTTAACTGGTAGTTGCGCGGTCAGGTAGCGCTGTCCCCAAGCCAAATTATATAATTTTTTCACACAAATGGTTTTCTTTTTCTGGTATTTGGTCACCACTGGGTTTTTCCTTTTTTATTATATAAATGAAAAAAGACAGAAAATTTTTGAAAAAAAAATATTTTTTGCTTTCTGTTCTAAAATATATCCAATAAAAAACGTAAAAAATGATTTGACAAATTTAATGTACTGTATTGCCAAAATGTATTCTGCTGCATGTTTTTGGTAAAAACAAACCCAATAAATGTACCGTATTTTTCGCCGTATAAGACACACCTGACCATAAGACGCACCTAGGTTTTAGAGGCAGAAAACGGGAAAAAAAAATTCTGAACTAATGGACTGCAGACACAGTACAGGAGATGACCAGAGACTGCGGACAGCACAGGGATGACCAGAGACTGCGGACAGCACAGGGATGACCAGAGACTGCAGACAGTACAGATGACTGCTGACCTTTGGGGAGGTGGGGAGCGGGTACCTGAATTTGACAGGTACCCGCTCTTACTTCCGCAGAGTTTTTTTTTTTTATCTTACCTGTTCCTCGATCCAGCCGCTCACTGTCTTCCCGGCTTCTGTAATGGCGCTCGGCATGACAGCCGGGTGCCCAGTGCGCATGAGCGAGAAGCACTTGCGCTTTGTGATTGGTCCGGCGCCTTCTGGGATCTGTCATGTGTCCCAGGTACCGCCTTACCATTTACAAAAAGCACCGCTTCTTGCGCATGCGCACTTGGCACCCGGCTGTCATGCCCAGTGCCCACACTACAGAAGCCGGAAGACAGCGCGCCGTTGGATAGAGGAACAGGTAAGGTCCCGCTGCAGAGCTGAGCGGACGGCCCGGTATTCTGACACGGCCGCGGTGGAAATACCGGACCGGCCGCTCCATATTCGCCTTATAAGACGCACTGACATTTCCCCCCCAGTTTTGGGGAAGAAAAAGTGCGTCTTATATGGCGAAAAATACGGTATATTAATAGATTTGCTTTTTTTTTAAACTAGTAATGGCCTTGATCAGCGACTTATACTGGTACTGTGATATTGCTGCGGGCAATCTGACACTAACTGACAAAGGGTGGGAACTGACACTGACATCACCAGTAACACAGTAATCAGTGATACTATACACTGTCACAGTACTAATGACGCTGGCTGAGAAGAGGTTAACATCTCGGAGCAATCAAAGGGTTAAACTTGAGCCTAACAAGTGTTAATGTGTGTAATATGAGATCGTTCCCTCTGTGCAGAGCTCATTGTTGATTGTTAACACAGGACTCTGGGTTGTGATTGGACACAGCCGATCAGCAGCTCCAGGCCATGAATCATTAGCCAGGACATGCTGACAAAATCCTGCCATGTTTAATAACAGCGCAAAGTTTGCAGGGGTGCGCGCAGACACCCTGTACCTGAAAGAGGCCGCCCCACGCACGCACACACATGGGCATTTCATATCCTAATCACCTGTACAATTTTTGTTATGAACACATTTATAGATAAAAAATGTACTTTTGAGCTTTGGGCACCGATTCACAAATATCCAGTCCTTGCTAAACCCTGAGTCCTAAGCGCTGGAAAATGTGGAATAGACTCCCTCACAAACTCGTTCTGGCCATCTCAGTTGATTGTTTAAAAAAGAAAAAAAAATCAAATGGATGCAAAAACACACCAAATATAACTGGATAATAATTTCAAGTATAACACCAGAGGTTGTTGATTGAGGAAAAATCTGATTGCCTTGGGGGATCATAAAGGAAGTTTTTTCCTACTGGAGCAAATTGAATCATGCTTTATAGGGTTTTTCCTCCCTTAGGATCCGCTGTGGGTATATATGTATATGGAGGTTTTAGATTATTTTTTTTTATATTGCTTGAACTATATTGACTGGTGTAATTTTGTTTTTTCTTTATTAATGGAATTTTATCACATATGATACAGTATTTTTAGTTTAGGTTGGAATAGGACTGGTTTGGTTATGTCTACAGGTGGGTTGTAAAAGTCATAAAGTGCTTTGGGGGGGGATGATGCTCTATGGTTGCACTATTAGAGCAATGCTGTTTTCTAGGTCATCTGATGAGTCAGTCATGCTCTACTTCTCCTGGCAATTAGAATTGTGTTTTGTTCTTCATACCACCTCCACTTGCAGCCTTCCCTACAATATATGATTGCTAAAGGGCTTCATGTCCAGTCTCTGGACATGGTGGAACAATGTGTTCAAGTGAGGAGATTGCTGGATCCTGGGACAGGTGAGTATCTGTTTAGTAAAAGTCAGCAGCTACAGTTTTTCTAGGTGCTGATCATGGGTGCTGTTAACCCCAGGTTCACACAAGCAGTTTCCGCAGCGTTTTACAGAAACGCAGTACAGTCCATTTAACATGATTTTCTATGGGACACATTCACATCTCCGTGTTTGCACCCGGTGCGTGTTTTGGAAAGGGTCAGGGATTTTTTTTTGATTGGTTGGTTCTATAGACTTCGGTGGAAACACTGGAGAAAAGCATGTAGTGCATTTTGCAGCGTTTTTTTTTTTTTTTTTTTTTTTTTTTTTTTAAATCTGCCCAGCAACAAGAAAAAAATAAATAAATAAAAACGCAATACAGAAACTGGTCAAACGCAAACTGCATAGGAGTGAACCTAGCCTAATTCTGTGTTCACTAAAGTGAGCCTATAGTTTTCCTATGCTAGGCAGCAGGGGCGGACTGACCATTTGGAAACTTGGGCACTGCCTGAGGGCCCGGGGTCAGGGGGCCCCATGAGATGCACCTGGTACCTTTTTTTTTTCATAGGCTTTTTTGAGTTTGGGCAAGGACACGGGCCCCATGATCCCCTATCGCCCAGGGGCCCCATGAGTTGTCAGTCCGCCCCTGCTAGGCACAGTTACAGGTAGACTTTATGCTAATCGGATTTTACACCCTTTACTTTCCACGTGCTGCCCACCTGCAGAACCTTGAAATACGGTACCTGGTATTTCTAGGTACTGGACAACATGTGACATACTCATTGAGGATTCATAGGAAATAAATAGGTATTTGCAGCACATGGCACATCAACACATCTAAAAAAAAAAAAATGCAGCACTATTCAAAAATCTTCATTCTGAATGTTTTCTGTTTTCGCTTAATACATGAACTCAAAAACATCCGTAAATGCTGATAAACCTGTAAACTGCATATGTGTCAGTGTGTGAGGGGTTGCATATTGTGGGGATGATTTACTAAAGGCAAATAGAATGTGCACTTTGCAAAGTGCGGTTGCTCCAGAGTGCAGTAAATGGGTAGAAGCTATGTTAACTTCCACCATCCAATCATGTGCAAGCAAAATGCTGTTTTTTACATTTTTTTCTTAATTTTATTTTTTTTTATTTTTTCCTTGCGTGTGATTAGGTACTCTTTGCAAAGTGAATCCTTACCCTATTTATTAAGCTCTGCAGCAATGGTACTTGCAGAGTGCAGCTGCACTTTACAGAGTGCACTGTCTATTTGTCTTTAGTAAATCAACCCCTTTGTTCCCTTTTGTTGGACACTTGGCATGGTAAAAACATTCCTATAATGATGGTCTACAAGTATAATTACCACTGTTTCCTGAGTTCATCAAGTCTATGTACATTGTTCTAGGGGACTTGTTATGCCTGCATAGCCATAAAGATAAAAATGTATAGTTGTTTGTGTCTACATTTTAGTTTTTATGTGACTTGTATTTTTTCTGTAGGAATTTGACATTTTACCCCTTCTTTCCTTTTACCCAGAATCCAGGCAGGATCCTGCTTCGAAGGACAGCTGAATGTCTATCACATGAAAGTTTGGCATGTTGTTGGTCTTTCTCCTGCATAGTCTGTGTACGGGTGAAGGTAGGGGGTTATAAAGAGCCGAGGCTTTGCTTGTGACCCTGCTACTGCAAAAGCTTGTCATTTTCATTGTCCACAACTGAGAAGACCACATCCTTTATTATAAAAGTCTAGAAGTGGAAAAAAAAAGGAGCTCAGATGGAGTTCATCTTCCAAGGAAACTTTAAAGACTCTAAACCATAAAGCCAGTGCTTAAGTCAAGGTGAGGGACTGGAGCCACCATCGCTGCCAGCGCTGCAATCTGTTGGATCTGCACAGGATCACCAATGCTCGCTTCTGATACCCGATTTATATTTTGGTACAGCCGGTTTTAAATACTGCAGAGTCTAAGAGACTGAACTGATAATAATGTATAATATATATGTATATATATAGTATGGAAATTATGATGCATTTAATGGAGGGAATGGTACGGTCAATGACTAGAACACGTGCCTGCAGGTCAGAGCATGTCCACCTTGTGATAAAAATGTAGTTTTCTCTTGAAACACTTTGCTATTATCTCTGCCTGTTTTACAGCAGGCAGCATTGTTCGAGGATATTTGTGAGAATTATGCTTCTAAAATTTTTATGCAGTCCTTATGTTGGATTTTCCAAAATAAACCGTGTGAAATTTCCAGTGTCTTGCAGTTTGATTAAACCTAAGGGAATTTAGCTCTGAGCAAGGTATTATTCCAATTCCTGGTGAATTAAATGATGTCCTTACTAAATACAAGTTGGAGAACTAGTCATTCCCAAGCTTGTGCAAGAATTTCAAGTCTGTAAAGTAGTTCTAAAGCCTAAACCTTTTTTTTACTGTACTGCATTCCTTGCATTAAGGGTCTCGCAGGCTTTGCTGAGGAAGCGGAGCCATTGGCTCCCACTGCTGTCAATCAAAGCCAGGGATGCAGGAGCCCGGGAGCGAGCCCGGGTGAGTGCCCCTATGGAAGTTGGCAGGGGGGAGGAGCCAGGAATGTCATCAGGGGACCCCAGAAGAGGAGGTTTGGGGCCACTCTGTGCAATTCTATTACACAGAGCAGGTAGGTATAAACATGTGGTTTTATTTAATTTTTTTTTAATTTTTTTTTTATTCCTTTACAACCACTTTAACCATTAGCCGCCCGACCAATGGCCGTTTGGCGGCTTCAAATGTGTCTCTGCACTCCGGGTGCACGCCATTTGGCGTGCTCCTGCACATGCGCAGTTTGCGCTAATGCAGAGCGGCGCAGCAGTGCGATCTGTCACTGGCCGTGCACCTCGGACACGGCCGATGACAGATCCGAGTACCGGCTCCAGTTGCTGGTACCATGTGACCTGCTGTGACCAATCACAGGAGGTCACATGACAGTTGTATACAATGGATGGCTTCATTCATGATGCCATCCATTGTATACTAGTGCCTAGCTGTGAATGGTCACAGCTAATCACATGCACATGTCATGTGATTAGCTGTGACCAAATCACAGCTAAGCACAAAAAAAAAAAGCTGAATGAATCGATTTCATTCAGGTAAATGCTTCCTTATAGCAAAGTAATTCTTTGCTATAAGCAAATTGTGTAAAAAAAAAAAAAAAAAAAAAATACTGATCACTTCCGCAAAGTAGTACAATGTTACTATGGTAACATTGTACTACTTTGGTCATAGTAAAATATGAAAAAAATCTTAAAAAAAAAAAAAAAAAAAAAAAAAAAAAAATGTAATAAAAAATTAAATATAATAAAAAAATTAAAAAAATATATATATATATTTTTTTTTTCATACTGTCACCAGTCAGTGTCCCTGTTCACCGCCATGCCAGTTATATGATGACGCTGTACTGCACTGGTGACAGTATGTAAAAAAAAAAATAGTGAAAATTATTTTTTTAATTTTTTCATTTTCCGAAAAATTATGACAAAAAAATACAACTTCAAAAAACTTGCCATGCCTCTTATGAAGTATGTCGGACTGTCTACTCTGCAAAAAGGGGTCATTTGGGGATATCTGTACTATTCTGACATTCTTGGACCTCAAGAAATTAGATTGGCTGTCAGTACTTCAGGATTGATCAATATTCAGATCTATACCATAGTTTATGAACTCTATAACTTTCCTACAAACTAAAAAATACATCCTAATTTGGGTTATTGTCACCAAAGACATGTAGCAGAATACATCTCGGCCTAAATTTATGAAGAACAATTATTTATTTGTAAACTTTTATAACAGAAACAAAGAAAAATGTGTTTTTTTTTTTCCAAAATTTTTGGTCTTTTTTTGTTAATTTAGCAAAAAATAAAAACTCCAGCGGTGATTAAATACCACCAAAAGAAAGCTCTAGTTGTGTGAAGAAAATGATAAAATTTTAGTTTGGGTACAGTGTTGTATGACCGCGCAATTGTCATTCAAAGTGTGAGAGCGCTGAAACCTGAAAAATGGCCTGGGCAGGAAGGTGTAAAATTGCACGGTATTGAAACGGTTAAAGAATACATAAACCCAACATTTCATATTCCTGATATGTGCCTGCTGTACGATATACTTGTATGAAAAAGTATCCTGTTCTTTGTATTGCTACCTTATGTGAAATACCTGGTTTTCCTTCCAGTCCCTCTGCTTTCCTAGTAAAAACTGACCACACTAAGCAGGAGAGTATAGTGTGGTCAGTTCTCTAGCTGTGCTGGGAACTCAGCCTGCTCTTCTCCAATGATTAGATGTGTCCCTGACACACCCCTTCCCCTGCACAGCCATTCACTGGGAAGATCAGTGTGCTGCTGTTAGTCCTCCCCCATCTGTTATGCAGCTGAGAACCAAGGGAATGCAATCACAATTAAAAGGGGAAAAAAGGTATTTATAATGTGTTTAATCATACACAAATGTTTTTCCTTTCATTTCTTTTATTAAACTGAATTGGTTGTTTTACTAGGTGAGGTCTGCTGGTTGTTGCCATGTCAACTTTCCTGGCTGAGTATACATACCTATGCAATCACAGAAGATGCATTGTTACCCTATAACGTACAGGTCACAGTATGTTAGTAGGTGGATGGGTGTGAGCATTGAGGTTGTATACTGTACATATATAGGCCTTTTTTCTTTTTTTTTTTTTTTTATATCCCCAAGAAGAAAGTGAGTAACCTCGTGACTTGTGCGCCACTGGCAAATGGAGAATGTTGTTCTGCTCTGACTCCTACCAGCTGGCAGTTTTATGCTCCATTCACACTATGCAACTTGTCATGTGACTTTGGGGTCCAAAGTCTCATGACAGGTCGTCCCCCATGTTTCCCAATGGGTACCATTCATATCTGTGCGACTTCAATGTAGTTCCTGCACTACTTTAGTCTGACTTTCATGCGACTTGAGGGCCGTAGACTGCAATGTAAACCCTCCAAAGTCACATGAACGTCGCACCTGAATGTTGTACATGCGACTTTGGCTTTGACCAAGGATAATTGTTTCTGCTGTACAAAGTCGCTTTAGTCTGACTTTCATGCAACTTTAGGGCCATAGACTTCAATGTAAACCCTCCAAAGTCGCATGAAAGTCACACCTGAATGTTGTACATGCGACTAGTGTGCAACTTTGTACAGCAGAAACAATTATCCTTGGTCAGCCAAATTGGCAATGAAAATCACACAATTTTGAAGTCACACAAGTGTGAATGGAGCCTTAGGGATGAGAAGCTCCCTCCAACATTCAGTCACTTGCCCTTAGGCTCCATTCACTTATGCGACTTGTCATGCAACTTTGGGGTCCTAAGTCGTATGACAAGTCACCTTCCATGTTTCCCAATGGGTACCAATCATATCTGTAGCTCCTGCACTACTTTGGTCTGACTTTCATGCGACTTGAGGGCCGTAGACTTCGATGTAAACCCTCCAAAGTCACATGAACGTCACACCTGAATGTTGTACATGCGACTTTGTACAGCAGAAACAATTATCCTTGGTCAAAGCCAAAGTCGCAGTGAAAATTGCATGATTTTTGAAGTCGCACAAGTGTGAATGGAGTCTTGTGCTGACCGATGTAGGTCCAGCCTGCTCAAAGTCATGTAGTATCTTGTGTGCTGATGGACTTGTGAGTATATGTTGCTTTGGTTAGCCTTGAATACAGTATTATACACAGTTGTTTGAAGGGACTACACCCCATAGAAATTGTTGACATTTCCGACCTATTTGAGCAAACATTAGATCTTTATTAAAGCAGTGCCTGCATATAAAGGTTATACACATAAAAATACAAGGGAAATTTGCTTTTTCAATATTTTATTGAACAAAAATCTCAATAGCTGTAATGGTATGCTGTAAATAAAAGTAAATTCTTTCTTGGCCTCAGAAGCTTATATTGCCCCCTTTTAACAGAAATTACTTGTAGATGCATTGCATAATGAGCCACCAGTCTTTGAACACTTTTTTGGGATACCTCAGGATTGGGCATACTTTTAAATGGTGCCATGACTGTGCTTTTTGTTGTAGCCACTTAGAAAGGCAGGGAACTCCTGCACCACCTCTGCACTACCCAAACATAATAGTCAGGCTTTACTTCAATGTCATGACTTGTGGTACAGATGCACCCTGAGTGAACAGGGAATACTACTTTATCAACAAAAAGAACCCTCAAAGTGATTCAGTAGCACAATTAAATATATATGTGCATATAAATAAGTGATCATTAAAAATATGTGAAAAACTAAAAGGCCATTAAAAAAAAAAAAAAATCTTTTTCACCCAAATGAATCTTCCAATTTGCAAAAGATCACCACATGCAAGATCCCTATGACTAAGTCGGATATGACGAAACACGTGAGGGTGAGGCTGTGCGGCGACCGGAAGTGACACTTTGAGGGTTTTTTGGTTGATCAGATTTATTTATATTGAAGTGGCAGCATTTATTAGTTATTAGAATAATTTTTTTTTATTTAGATTTCATCAGGCATCTAGCGCAAACTGTTTTTGTTTTATATACACGTATAGGGAATACTGC